TAGCGACTATGAAGTCGCCGTCGCCGCCCCGTCGCCGCCTCGTCGCCGCCAGTCGTCTGGGCCTGTCTGTCGGTTTGGCGGCTTTGTGGTCGCCGTCGCCGCCCCGTCGCCGCCTCGTCGCCGCCTGTCTTCTGGGCCTGCCCGTCGGTCTGGCGGTTACGTGGTCGCCGCGTCGTTCTGGGCACGTCTGTCGGTCTGGCGGCGATGTGGCCGTCGCCGCCCCGTCGCCGTCTGGGCCTACGTTACTTGGCATTGCTTCGCGTTAGTTTGCGTTGCCTTTCATTGATTCGAATTGATTTCTTTGGATTTGTATTGTTTTGCAGTGTATTCTCTTGCTTTGCATAACTTAGCGTAGCATTGTTTTGCATTGCTCTGCGTTGTTTTGCATTGCTGAGCATTGCTTCGCACTGCTCCTCACTGCTTCCCACTGTTTTGCATTGCTTTGCATTGCTTGGCGTTGCTTTTCATTGCTCTGCATTGCTTTGCATTGCTTTGCGTTGCTTTTCCTGGCTTTGCTTTCGTTGCATTGCTTCACCGTTTATCGCCACATAGCTCACACCACGTATATTACACCACATAGCATGCACCGCAGCTTACACCACATAGCTTCCTTCACGCATTTTGCATCACACAACTTCCACCATATAGCTTGCACCATATACGTTGCATCACCTCGTATGCTTGAGCGCACTGTTTGGGGTCTACGCTGGGCGTCATCCCACTGCATATGTATATGTCTATGTATATTTACCCGTGTCTTCCTCTTGCTCTTCCTCTACTGCCGAGCCTTGCGGCGACGGTGCATCCGTCACTCGCTGCCAGTGCGCGAGCCGGTCGCAAGCTGTTCTGGCGAGGGCGTGGGACTTCCCAGAGCCAGTCCTGTTTACATGTCTGCGTGCTTGCGATTCGCGTTTTCTTATGCAATGTAGGACCCCGTCGCTGTGGCGAGAACTGGCTCGAAGGGCCAGCCCGGATGACTGTCACGAAGAACTGTGGTACCCCCTTCTGGGCATTCCCCAGACTGGGGCCAGTGGTACATGTTTCTCTGTCGCTTGTGCGGGCAGGCAGCTTGGCGTACACACGCTTGTCAGGATGCAACTTGTCGGAGGTGAAAGTCGGCATCGGTGCTGGTGCGGTCGGAAACTGGGCAACTCTGGCTCAACCCTGCCTAGGCTCAGCCCCGCTTCATCTGGCTGAATCTGGCCCACTCCTGGGCTTCATCGTGACTGATCCGGCTCAGTGGCCTCTTACTGAGGCCTGAAAGCCCAGAGTCGTTTCCACGAAGGTAACTCACGGTAAACGTATTCGTATCCGCGCCCTCGTGGTCTGGATTCCGCGCGATCTTGCGGATACGCGGTCGCAGGGATACGTTCCGCGCGGGGCGTCGCGAAAGGACGCCCCGCATCCGCGGGGCCGCGCCCCAGGGGCCGGGCCCGCGAGGTCGCTGTAACGGATATGCTCTTCGCCCACGAGGAGCCCCGTGAGGTGCTGCCTCCCTGCGCTCGCCCACGGAGGTCGCCGGGGAAGCTCCGGCGCCCTCGCTGGCTGCCGCTGCCGTGCCCTCGGCGCGCCGCGCCTCCTCCTCCTCCTCCTCCTCCTCCTCCTCCTCCTCCTCCTCCTCCTCCCCGGCCAGGGCGGCAGGCTGAGCGTCGGCACCAAGCAGGCCGCGCGGGGGCAGGGGGCCGGGAGTGGCAGAGTCTGCCGGGGAGCCAGGGAGTCATCGGTGGCTGCGCGTGAGGTCGGGGGTTCGCACGGGGAGGTCTGTCCCGAGGTGGGGCTGGGGAGCGGGCCCAGCTGGGCGCTTCCGGTTTCACGCGTCTCCTTCTTCCAGGGGCCGTTCGGAGCGATCTTCCTTCCAACCCCGCCTTTGCCCGTATGCCCCCCCGATACGAGTGACCCCTCGCCGTAGTGACCTTTGGTGCGGGCCCAGATGGGATGCCCCCAAGCAGTGGCCTGCACGCTTGGATTTCGCTCCCCCCTCGCCCCCCCCCCCCGCGGCCCCCGTCCCCCCTTCAAGCCGCACACCAAAGGCCACTCTTGCCCCGGGCCGAAGTCAGAAGGGGAGTCAGGTCTGACTTCGCCGCCCCTGCGTAGAGCCGAAGTCAGACGGGGAAGAGGTCCCCCTGCCGCTGCTCGTCCTGGACGAGGCGATCGCAAACATGGATCAAGGGGGCGTGGATTAGCGACGGGTCCCGTTTCCATGGGAAATCGCGGATTTCCGCCGCCGAGCGAGGCGGCACCAGCTCCGAGCGGGTCGTCCAGATCTTGACATTGTCGACATTTTCAGGCTTTTGAGGCGTGGATCTGGAGCACGTCTCGAGCGGGAGCCTCGTCGGTGAGTAAAGTGTGAGGGCGTTTCAGCTGGGAGCCCCCCTCCTCCCCAAGGGGCCGCCAGATCATGTCAGTAATCCGAGCGGGTCGTCCAGATCTTGTAGTTGTCGTCGGTTTTGGGCTTCTGAGGCGTGGATCTGGTGCAAGTCTCGAGCGGGAGCTTCATTTGTGAGTGAATTGTGAGGGCGTCTGAGACGGGGGCCTGCTCCCTATGGAGCCGCCAGATCATGTCAGTAATCCGAGCGGGTCGGTCGTCCAGATCTTGTAACTGTCGTCAGTTTTGGGCTTCTGAGGCGTGGATCGAAGTCTCGAGCGGAAGCCTCGTCTGTGAGTGAATTGTGGGGAAGTCTCAGGCGGGAGCCCCCTCCTCCCTACGAGGCTGATGATGTCAGTAATCCGAGCGGGTCCTCCAGATCTTGTAGTTGTCGTCAGTTTCGGGCTTCTACGGCGCGGATCTGCAGGAAGTCTCGAGCAGAAGGCTCATCGGTGAGTGAAGTGTGGGGAACTCTCAGGCGGCAGCCCAGCCCTTTCCCATTGGGGCTCCCCAGACCATGTCAGCGATTCGAGCGGAGCGTCCATATCCTGTAGCTGTCGTGCTCTGTGGGCTCCAGTGTTGTCCCGACGGGTCGACTTAGCGCCGCCAGCGGCCCGGCGGGAATTGTCTCAGTGACCTGGCCCGCGGGGTTGCCCCAACGGCTTCGCGATCTGGCTGTCGTAGGACGCGCCCCAGCTGGCAGCGGCGGCGACGGCGCCCAGGAACATCGGCATGCGCGTCCGCGCAGGGCGGGCGGGGGGGGGGGAGGCCCACGAGGAAACGGAGCAGGAGAAGGAAGGGGGATGAAGAGGATGGGGAAGAGGAGGGGGAAGGGGGATGAAGGGGACGAGGAGGAGGACGAGGCGGCGGACGAGGACGAGGAGGAGGAGGAGGATGAGGAGGAGAGAGGAGGAGGATGAGGAGGAGGAGAGGAGAGAAGGAGGAGGAGAGAGGAGGAGGAGGAGGAGGAGGAGGAGGAGGAGGAGGAGGAGGAGGAGGAGGCCGGGCAGGGGGGCGGGAGGAAGGGTTCCGCCAGCGCGAGGGGGAGCGTGCGAGGGGGAGGCAGGAGGAGGGTCTCCACTTCCACTCGGGCGACGACGAGGGGAGGAGGAGGAGGGAGGAGGAGGAGAGAGGAGGAGGAGGAGGAGGAGGAGGAGGAGGAGGAGGAGGAGGAGGAGGAGGAGGAGGAGGAGGAGGAGGAGGAGGAGGAGAGGAGGAGGAGGAGGAGGAGGAGAGAGGAGGAGGAGGAGGAGGAGGAGGAGTGGGAGGAGGAGAGGGGGAGCGTGCGATGGGGAGGCAGGAAGAGGGTTTCTCCGAGGCCGCGTAAGAGGATTCTCACGTGGGGCCCCGCCGTCGGAGTGATTCGACGTCGGTTCTCAACTGTGTGGAGCTGTCCGTCGCGACGTCCTCAGACACTTGAGGCGTCGGAGATCGGGCGTCGGGTATCCAGCACGGTGTGGGGAGCGTTTCGCTCAAGACACCCTCGCGCCAGGGGGATGTTGGAGGAGTTGTGTTGCGACGCTGGTTCTCAAACACGGAGCTTGTGCTTGCGACGTCCCCAGAAACTTGCGATGTTGGAGATCGATCGGGCGTCGGATAGTCAACATGGTGTGGGGAGAGCGTTGCACATGAGACACGCTCATGACATGGGGATATTGGAGGAGCTGCTTTATGACAGTGGCTTCCAAACATGGAGCTATCGCCTGATACATCGTCACAACATTGACATGTTGGCGATCTGACGTTGGATATTCAATATGCTGTGTGTGTGTGTGTGGAGGGGGGTGGGGTATCAGAGTTTTTTGTCACTCATTGGCCAGTCTGGCAGCTGTTACAGGTTTTCTGGTGCGCTTCACTGTCGAACACCGTCCTTCGGTGATTCAGTGGCCGCCAATTCGCACCAGTTGGAGATCGGCCAACGGATATTCAGCAGTGTGTGTGTGTGTGTGGCGTTTCGTCTGAGGCATCTTCGCGCAACAGGAATGTAGGAGGATTTGTTTTACGACGTTGGTTCTCAAACGTGAAGATGTCGCCTGAAGCATCCTCAGAACATTGAGATGTTGAGCTCGGGCGTTGGATATCTTACTTGGTGTGGTGGAGCGTTTCGCTGCAGAAATCCTCAGACAACAAGGGGATGCTCAATGAGCTCCCGACTTCGACGTACCTTTAAGAACTTGGCTCCCTTCTGGGGCACTAGGGAAGTCTGGCAGCTGATTATTTGACTCAGTTTCCTTGCCGCCTTCTCCCTCCGCCTCCCTGGAATTGAAGCTGTGCAGGTCTATCTGCCGGCCTCAGTGTCGCTTTTGTGCTGCTCTGGGCCCCGGTTAGCCAGCCTCGCCCCACGCCCTGCGGCGTGATCTCTTCCCTTCTCCGCGTTGCGGCGCCGAACAACACGCAGATCCCCACCGGGCCCGTGGACCCCGCTTGCCCCGACGCGAACCCAGACATGCGACGCCCTGCTTTTTTCAGGACGGGGCCCCTGGCAGTCCCGACCCGTTCCCCGGGGCCGGTTTTTCGTCGTGGGTCGTCTTTTGACGGCCCCGAAGGGCCCCAGCGGGCCGAAGACAGCGAAAAACCACCCGTCCTGATTTTTTTAATGGCAATCTTCGGCCCCCTCTCCCGGCCGCCCCTCCGCAGCCCACCCTGGTCCGAGAGCGGCCTCCGGCCACGACCGAGCGGCGGGCCAGTCCTGGGAGGGGCGCGGGCCGGCGCACGACATGGGCTGCCTCGGCTGCCTCGAGGGGCTCGGGCTCGGGGGCAAGAGGCCGCCGCCGCTGCCGAGAGGCCCGAGGAAGCCAAGGAAGGGAGGGAGGGAGTGCAGGAGAGAGGGAGGAGGGCGGGAGAAGGAGGAGGAGTATGATTGAGGAGGGGTAGGATTTAAGGAGGATTGGGGAGGATTGAGGAGGAGGAGGTGGAGTAGGAGGAGGAGGAGAAGGAGGAGGAGGAGGAGAAGGAGGAGGAGGAGGACCAGAGTAAACCCAGGATGCGTCAACGATTCTGCTATACACCCTCCCGTGCCGAAGTCTAGTTTGTAATTTGTAAATCCCTACAAGTATTCCTTTCCACTGCGGGAAGCGCTCCCCTTGAATGACGAGTGCCCACTGCGCATGCCACTCAGGCGAGAATTCTTTTTGGGATCATACGCCTTCCATCTTTCTAGCTACCAGAAGCGCGAAGAGGTAGGATCACACATCTTAAGGACATATCCAGCAACAGCCCCTCCATGAGAAGGATCAGCCATCCATCCGTGAAGGGTTGCATAATTTCGAAGTCCTGGTCATACACTTTGCGAAAGTCTCAAGCGAGAGCCTACTTTTGGAAAGGAGCCGTCATCCATCCGTGTAGTTGCTGCACATTGTTTTCGCGGGGCTCCTCTTGGGCCCCTTTCGGCTCCCCCTTGGGGCCATTTGGGGCCCATGTGGGGCGTCTGAGCCTCTGGGGCCGTCTTGGCGCTCTCTCTGGCCGTCTTGAGGCCCTCCTGGGGGGGCCCTGGGTCCGTCTTGGGGCGAACTCGGGGGTATCCTGCTCCGTCTTGGAGCGTCGAAAGCCCGAAAAGGCGAGAGCGCTACTTAGCATCCTTCAAAACCGAATGTGGATGAATGATTACTCTCGCTTCGTGGGGTGCACGTCTGGCGCTGTTGAGCCGTCATGGTGCCGTGTTGGGTAGTTTTTGGGCCCGTCTCGGCGTTCTCTGAGGCTGTCTTGGGCGCTCCCGGGGCCGCATGGAGCAGTCGTGGAGCTTCCTGCAGTCACGGCCTCCGAACCAGTTTGCCGAACATGTCCGTTTTCTTTTTTGGGAACGGCCCATTTTTGGCTTCCTGGGGCCCTCGTGGATGGTCTCTTGGGGGGATGTTGGAGGCTGCGTGGGTTGCCTTGACGCCATCACACCGCGACTGGGTGCCAACCTGGAATCGCCTAGGGACCTGGGTGCCCCAGTTCGCAGCCGTCGGCCGCCGTCCATGTGCGTGTCTGAGGCTGCGGGGGCCGCCGGGGCCGCCGGCGCATTTCGCCAGGACCCCCCCCCCCTTCCAAACCGGACGAGCGGAGCCTCCTAGGCTGGGGAGGGTGGGGAGGGGCAGGAGTCTCACACGCCGTAGACGCCAAGGGGTCGGCGGATTACGGCCTTTGGAGCCCTCTCGGGGAGTCTCTGGGAGCCCTTCTGGGGAGTCTTGGGGGCCTCTTGGGCAGTCTTGACGCCGTCTTGGGCATCTTGGAGAGCTCGTTGGCCGACCTGGTGCCCTCTTGGACAGTCTTGGGAGGCGCTTGGGGCCCTCTTGGCCCGTCTTGGACACCCCTTGGCTCTGAAAAAGTCACGTTGCACCGCGCGAGAGACTGGGGCGTTTGGAAATTTTGGGTCCGGGCCTGTTCATACCCCTTCACTCAGGACTGAGGACTGATACCTTAAAGGACCTAAGGGCGCGGGGCGGATTGTTTGTAAGGAAGAGGGGTGGAGGAGAAGGAGGAGAAGGAGGAGAAGGAAAGAAGAGAAGAGGCAAGCTGGGTGGGCTCGCGCCATATCTGACATCCTACCCTCCCATCCATCCCGTCTCATCGCGTTGATGATTTTCTACCCGCCGACGCGAGTCATAGCGGACGCGTAATCGGAAAATGGGAAGTTGAGCAGGAGGAACAGGCTGCGGATGAAGAAGGAGGAGGACGACGATGTCGAACAGCAGCAGCGGAAAGTAGAGTGGAAGGAGCGGGAGGAGCAGGAGGACCATGGGAGGGCGGAGGAGGGGAAAGGAGCGGGGCGACAACGATGAGGAATGATTCAGATCCAGAAGGGAGGCCCATGCTGTGGCGAGAGCGCCATTGTGAACGAGGGGGCAAAGCGCCGATCCGACAATGAGACCAACGTTGCAGTCAGATCACCATTTTTAACGACCCCGAGGCCATCGGACTGTAAAACTGTAAGAAAAACAACTGTTGCCAACTCCGGCGTGTACAAACAAGACGCGGAGAGGGCGGGACGTCTTCTGGGCAGAGTCAAGGGAGAGACGAGAGTAGCATTCATCATGTGTGATTTGCAAGAGGTCAGCTACGCGCGCTCGCGCTAAATCTGACATCCGACACCTCCCACCCATCCCTTCCCATTGCGTTGGTTTTTCCCAACCATCCTGTGGTGTTGGGTCCTCGTTTTGAAGAGACGTCGCCCCGCGTTCCTTCCTCCTCCTCCTCCTCCTTCCTCCTCCTCCCCTTCCTCCCCCCTCCTCCCCCTCCCACACCCATTCTGGCACACCCCTCACACGTTTCGTGGCCCCATAGGGAGCTCCACCGAAGGCCCCAGCGGCTGCGCCCGCATGCGGTTCCACCCCCCATTCTGGCACACCCCTCACACGTTTCGTGGCCCCATAGGGAGCTCCACCGAAGGCCCCAGTGGCTGCGCCCGCATGCGGTTCCACCCCCCATTCTGGCACACCCCTCACACGTTTCGTGGCCCCATAGGGAGCTCCACCGAAGGCCCCAGTGGCTGCGCCCGCATGCGGTTCCACCCCCCATTCTGGCACACCCCTCACACGTTTCGTGGCCCCATAGGGAGCTCCACCGAAGGCCCCAGTGGCTGCGCCCGCATGCGGTTCCACCCCCCATTCTGGCACACCCCTCACACGTTTCGTGGCCCCATAGGGAGCTCCACCGAAGGCCCCAGTGGCTGCGCCCGCATGCGGTTCCACCCCCATTCTGGCACACCCCTCACACGTTTCGTGGCCCCATAGGGAGCTCCACCGAAGGCCCCAGTGGCTGCGCCCGCATGCGGTTCCACCCCCCATTCTGGCACACCCCTCACACGTTTCGTGGCCCCATAGGGAGCTCCACCGAAGGCCCCAGTGGCTGCGCCCGCATGCGGTTCCACCCCCCATTCTGGCACACCCCTCACACGTTTCGTGGCCCCATAGGGAGCTCCACCGAAGGCCCCAGTGGCTGCGCTCGCATGCGGTTCCACCCCCCATTTCGGCACACCCCTCACACGCTTCGTGGGTGGCTCCATGGGGAGCTCCACCGAACGCCCCAGTGGCTGCGCTCGCATGTGGTTCCCCCCCCATTTCGGCACACCCCTCACACGGTTCGTGGCCCCATAGAGAGCTCCACCGAAGGCCCCAGTGGCTGCGCTCGCATGCGGTTCCACCCCCTTTTTCGGCACGCCCTTCACACGTCTCGTGGCCCCATAGGGAGCTCCACCGAACGCCGCAGTGGCTGCGCTCGCATGCGGTTCCACCCCCCATTTCGGCACACCCCTCACACGTTTCGTGGCTCCATAGGGAGCTCCACCGAAGGCCCCAGTGGCTGCGCTGGCATGCGGTTCCACACCCCATTCTGGCACACCCCTCGCACGTTTCGTGGCCCCATAGGGGGCTCCACCAAAGGTCCCAGTGGCACTGCCCGCTTGCGTCCGCCACCACCCAGCACAGCCCTTGTTCCCTGCGCTTCACCCACCCAGAACAGCGCTTCGTAGCCCTATAGGGAGCTCCACCAAAGGTCCCAGCGGCACCGCCCGCATGCGTCCGCCACCACCCTGCGCAGCCCTTGCTCCCTGCCTGCGTTTCACCCACCCAGTACAGCGTTTCGTGGCCCCATAGGGAGCTCCACCGAAGGTCCCAGTGGCACCGCTCGCATGCGTCCGCCACCACGCAGCACAGCCCTTGCTGACCGCGTCTCACCCACCCAGTACAGCGTTTCGTGGCCCCATAGGGAGCTCCACCGAAGGTCCCAGTGGCACCGCCCGCATGCGTCCGCCACCACCCAGCACAATTGCGGCATTCACAACTGCATATGGTTGGGTCCTTCGCCAGGCTAATTCTCTTTCCACCGACGCGTGTAGTAGAAGACCTGGAACTCCGAGAATAATCCCAGCGTGTCATGCGCAATCGGAAACTGGGAACTGCGTGTATTGCAATCGTGGGTGACGAATGAAAACAAGGATGAGCATGAGGAGGACGAGGAGGATGAGGAGGATAAGGAGGAGGAGGAGGAGGAGGAGGAGGAGGAGGATGAGGAGGAGGAGGAGGAGGAGGAGGAGGAGGAGGAGGAGGAGGAGGAAAGGGAGGAGGAGGAAGGTGACGAGGAGGAACAGGAGGAGGAGGAGGAGGAGGAGGAGGAGGAGGAGGAGGAGGGGGATGAAGGAGGATGAGGAGGAAGACGAAGAGGAACACCAGGAGCGGGCAGCAGGAGTGGGAGAAGCTGGAGGAGCAGGATGACCAGGGGAAGGTGGTGGAGGGGAGAGGAGCGGGGCGACAATGACGAGGATACACCCCGATCCAGAAAAGTGGCCCATGCTGGGGCGAGAGTGCCATTCTGAAGACATGAGCAAAAGGCCCATCCTAAAATGAGGGCCATGCTGCAGCTACAACACCATTTTGCAGGACCGCAAACGACCGGACGGTGAAGAATAGGGAAAACACTTGCTTGGCATCTTGTATACAAAAAGCGCGGAGGGAGGCGGGCGACTCCCCAAGCATCTTCGGGGGAGACAGGAATGTAGTATTTATATCGAGCTAAGTCCGCTCGGGCCAGGCCTGACATCTTACCCCACCCGCAGAATCTCACATCGCGCTGTTGTTCCCAACCATCCTGTGGTGTTGGGTCCTCGTTTTGAAGAGACGTCGCCCCGCGTTCCTTCCTCCTCCTCCTTCCTCCTCCTCCCCTTCCTCCCCCCTCCTCCCCCTCCCACACCCATTCTGGCACACCCCTCACACGTTTCGTGGCCCCATAGGGAGCTCCACCGAAGGCCCCAGTGGCTGCGCCCGCATGCGGTTCCACCCCCCATTCTGGCACACCCCTCACACGTT